AAAAAAAAAAAAAAAGTTTGCCAACTCTAGTATGAATGAATATAGCCTGAGTCAAATAAAAATGACAAGAAAGGGTGGGAAAGTTCAGGTGGGGCTGGGAAGGCCGCACTAGGGTTGTGGGCCCCAGAAAAGGAGGGGTAGGGAAGGGTGAAGGTGACATCTCAGGGAGGAGGCAGAATGAGCTACAAAGAGGAGAAAAAAAAGTGCTCCAGGCAGAGAAAGCAGCGTGTGCAAAGCCTGGAAATGAAAAAAGAGAACTGCGCAGTGGTTTTGCTTGGCTATGGTGTAAAAAGACACAAGTAGCAAAACAGTAGTGAAACAGGTGGCGTGGACTGAACTCTTAACTCGAGGATGGAGGCTGTGCCAATCACATCACACATTTTGAATCAGGACAAGGAATATCGGTCCACCCTAGGGCAGGGCTCTGAGTCCGCAGCCAACCCTGTCATCACCCCGTGTGCCGGGGACAGCCGAGGCTCAGATACCGCGCGCCCGTCGTCCCTCCTCCCCCGCTCCTCCCTGCAAGGGACCCTGACAACTCTCGCCTCCGACGCAGGCCTTACTGGAATCCATGGGGTCGCAGACCGGGGAGAAGCCCAGCGGCAGGGGGCTCTTGTCCACCACGATCTGGATATCGGCCACCACGTTCTCCTGGGGGTTCTGGGGGTGGAAGGGGGACACAGCGAGGGTGGCCTAGCAGCAAGGACGGAGCAGCTGGCATAGGGCACCGTGAACGGGCAGGGGAGGTGGGCAGACCCTGGTGGTCCCGAAGGTAGGCACCCCTTACCTCTAGGCTGCCCAGAGAACTAAGGCACAGGAAGTAGCCAGATTTCTGCGCGAAGCTCTTGCCAAAGCTGGCGGGTGCCCCCTCGACAGTGCAGGAGATCTACTGGGAGGACGCGGGTCAGCGTCGGACTCCCACCCCACAGCGGCTGCCTCCCCCATTCGACCCCCGCCCCTCGACGTCGCTCACCGCGCTGAACCCCCGCGGCGGGGGTGCAGAGGCCGACGACCAAGCCAGGCCAGCCAGCGGCGCCGAGTCTGTCCCGGGTACAGGATCCATCCTGCGATCGGAGCGCCGAAGGCGGGGTCGTGGGGGACAGCCTGGAACCTCGGAGCAGCCTCCCGACGGCAGCGCTCGCGGTCGAACTACAACTACCAGAAGGCCATGCGGGGCGGAGATTGCCCGGAAGCGCAGTATACGCGTGCCCGAGGGGCTGCTGGCCAATGGCGTGGGGAGGCGGGGCCACGACCCACGCGTCGCCCGGGTTGCGCGCGTGAGCGACGATTGCGGAAAAAGGTCTTGCCGGCTTTCCTCGCCCAGCAACTTCCGCCGGAAATGCTACGGCGCAGGACCAAGAGACTGGTTCTCTGCAAATCTGCACTACATTCCCCAGAATTCCTTGCGGTCGCAATAGCTAGTCTAGAAAAAGCTCAGTGCTTAACGCAAAAGTTGGGAGATTTGTGGCCGCGCTGAGTGGCACACGTCTGTAATCCCAGCACTTTGGGAGGCGGAGGCGGGCGGATCATGAGGTCAAGAGATCGAGGCCATCCTTGGACAACGTGGTGAAACCCCGTCTCTACTAAAAATACATTGTGAAAAATCTACAATTCCAGTTCTGGGAAATCATCCCAAAGGAAATCATCGTGTATGCAGCTGTTGATTTAAAGAGCGAACACTATGAGCCATCATGAGCCATGAAATCTTGGGTATAACTTAAAGAGTTGTTTCACAGGAACAATACGTTTAAAAGGGGAAGTATAAAAAAAGGGAAATATTTAAAAAAGGGAAGTATAAAAGCATTTATTGCCTATAGTCCCAGCTACTGGGGATGCCACCAGCAAACCGAGTTACTTCCTCACTATGTGTAGGTGGCAAAGAAGGAACATCCGATCGGAAAAGGCAATCAGGTTTTATTCACTGGCCAGGAATGGAGGAGAGGCTCTCGCTCTAACTGCCCCTTCTCCCTCAACAGTAAAAAACATGACGTTTTATTTTTTCTTCCCCTGGGTACAGGAAGGGAGAGGAATGTTAGCATGTGCAGGGTGGGACTCCAGATCTTCATACAACCGGTCTACACAAAAGGGAGATTTTCTTTTAAGAGAAGGAATTTTAGTATTATAATTATATATTGATGAATATATATTGATGATCTAAAGTCAACTAGAGGTCGTCTGTTCCAGTTTGTGCCGATTTAGGGATCTTATCTTCCTCTGGTATCTGGTAGGGGTCAAGAAGCTCCGGTGACATCCCTGGCTGCCGGCCATCTTTAAGCAGCTGTGTGTGGGGTTTTTTTTTTTTTTTTTTGGACTGAAAAACAATAAGAAAAAGAACTTTCCCAGTTATTTTATCAGGGCTGTCCTGGTAACAGGGTAACTGGGAGGCTGAGGTGGGAGGATCGCTTGAGACCAGGAGTTTGAATCTAGCCTGGACAACACAAGGAGACTCCGTCTCTAAAATGAAAGAAAGGGAAAAAAAGTATTTA